TTAAAGGATGGAAGGCGATAGTGGTGCTCGATAAAAAAAAAATACTTATTATTGCATTACCGAGTATATCATGCATCAAAATCAAATTACTATCCAGCGAGAATCTTTGCAGAACTACCTAGGACCAAATATTAATGATAGACCATCTCACATGCACATTTGGCACATGAGCCCATTCGTTTACCATAAAACGATTACCGCGTTATTATTATAGCATTCAGTCACACAGCAAGAATAGAAGATTTCGATTTCGTTTACTTGCATCTCATCTACTGCGCACAATGATTTATAGCTTCGATAGCAAGGGAAATAGCTGGTAGAAGCAGTTGAATTGCAATCTTGAGGGAGGGAATGTGAAATGGAGGAGGGGGGGGGACAAGCCTCTTGTAGGCATTTTTTATTGAATCCAGATGCAAGGTTTCAGAATAGCAATCACTACACTAGGTTTAAGAGGTTCGAAAAACGAAAGGAACATCTTAATTTGTGGGCTAGTAGACGTGAGAGTTTATATGGTGCACCTACGGTGCTTACAATAAGTGCGCGAAAACAATGGCACGGAAAACCAAAATGTGGAAATGTGAGCTTCACTGCCATTTTATAGGCGCAAATTGTCGGCATTACAAACATAGCAATTAGTTTACGCGCAAGTGCTGCAAGCACCGTAAGGACACAAAATATCAGTCTACTGGTCTACCGATACTCGTACCATAAAAAAGTATGGATTAATACAATGGGATCGGCGGCTGGAGCGGGGCTCTGAGGCCTAATCGAGGCTAGGGAATGACTAGAGAGCACGCTCGCGAGAGAGACGCAGATTGCGTTGCGGAGGCGAGCGGTCGCCTCTAATGTAAGCCACCAATCCCGTTGGATCAAGGGGTATATCAGTGTGAAATTACGGAAAATCCGTCATGTTGATTTCAATGCGATTTGGACGCCATTCTAATTGGTCTATATAAGCTATAAATTGTGAAAATCACAGTTTTCAATTGTGAATAAAAACCAAGAGGATTTTATTAGAATCAGGATTCCACTCAACTGTTTTTTTTTTTGATTTGCTGCCGACACGCCTCCTTTTCTTCGAACATCGAGGGTAGTGACTCGCAAATTTTTGAGAGACATCTCGAAAAAAAATTTAGGAGGCTTGCCCTCGTTTCCTACCCTCTTTCGTTAAAAAAAACTTGTGGAAGCGACTACATACTTGGAATGGGCTCAAAGAAAGTAGTCTGATGAATCATTAGATTAAACGTTTCCAAATAAATTAGAGCATGATATTGGCAAAAGTAATAATAAAACTAAAAACATCTTTAGGCTAATGCACTAATGGGTGCTTCAGTATGGATTGTCGTATTTCTTACGTTATCCCAATATATGGCTGTATGTCGACCCTTCGCATATGGATTACGGTAACCGATATTCACCTAGGGGAGAGTTCTAATGCGTACGATTGCAGATCCAGAAAAGTATGCTTTATTCTATTCTCGTTGGCATACATATTCAATTTCTGTATCTACGCGCCATGGGCTGTCAAGAAGGAAGTGCATAATTTGAAGCTGATTGTGGGAAAGGTCCATGCTTCTACAAATTTGGGGGACCACTTTGTCAAAAAAAATTTATGTGGTTTAGGATGCCCTTCCGGATAATGTTTGTCCGTATATTGTCTGTGACACAATCCCAGCTGACTGGTTTATGGTGTACGAAACCGTTCGAGAACTCATCAGCCGTATATTTCCTTTCTTCCTGGTTGCCTACATGAACGCCAAAATTCTTATCACTTACAGGTTTGCTCCTTATAGCTTACTCTTTAGTTAGAATATGAATTGATGTGTTATTTATATTTTCGCATATTGATAATCAAGTCACCTAATTTATACTTCCGCATATTGATAATCAAGTCACCTACGTAAAAGTAGCGGCAATAGAT